AAGTATACGGGTAGGTCCCACAAATTATGAAGTAGAACATTATGAAGGGCCACATAAAATGAAACAAGTTTATCATGTGAATCTGTTAAAGAAATGGGAGGAAAAACATGAAGAAAGCAACCCAGACACTACAAGAAAGAGAAAAGGGAATGTAAGAAGGGTCCTGGAGAGAGACTTACGTGTACAAAGGCTGTAGCTGTAAGTGTGATGTCTTCTGTGGAGCCTGATAGCCGTATGAATCGAATCCTCCAATGAAGTCAACTGGGGAAAGAAAGAGACTACATGAGTGGCTGCCCGCGGGGAGCCGAGGCAGCACAGCTGGCCAGTACCAGAAGACATGCAGCTGGAGAAAGAGAAGCCAGCAGCTTCCTCTCCTGTCTCATGCCCCTTTCTCAGTCAGTGGATCAGTTCTTCAATGTTGGGACTTTTCGTGGCGGGCTTAAGGTGATCCTACAAAGGCAGTTTCAGACCAGGAACAGCCATCAGTGCTCTCCAGAACCCGCCTACTATCTGCTGTGCGTGTATGAGTGTGAGAGAGAGAAAGGGATTGTCTGAGGATGAATGTATGAGTGAGTGTGTCTTCTGGTGAAAGAGAGTGTGTCCGCATGTGTGTGTGTTTGTGTCAATGTTGATCTGAATGTGGGGGTGTTCATGTGTGTGCATCAGAGTGTGTATGTGTGAGTTTGGGGCTGAAAGGGCCTGTGTGTGACCAAGTGTCCGAGGGTGAATGGATGTGTGTTTGTGGGTGAACAAGATTATTTCTGAGTGTGTATGAGAGAGCGTGGCTGAGGGTGAGAGTTAGTGTGTGTAAATGCGAGAGAGTGTTAGTCAGGCTGCCCGTTTGTGAATCTAAGTTTGTGAGCAAATATGTAAGTAAGACTGAGTCTGTGACTCCGGGGGCCAGATCCTATTCCCCCTATTAGGCACGTACGGGGACTTAGGCACTTAAGTGTGACTCGGTTCCACCCTGCTCAAGTCCCTGAAAAACAGCTGCTGAAAAGGTGAGTGGATCCTTCTCCTCTTCATTGCTTTTTTGTTTCAGTTTTAAGGGTCAGAGGATGGTGTGTTACAAAAGCAGATTCATTAATGGATTTTCAGGACTTGAACTGAGTTGAATGGAATCACAGTTAGGTGTCTAAGTACACTTAGATACTTAATATATGGAACCAAATCTGGCCCCATGGTGTGTGTAACTGTGACTGGGAAAAGCTAGTGACTAATTCAGTGGTTCTTAACCTTTTTAGATTCAAAACACTCTGCGATGGACTTAAGGCACCTCTCAGAAAATCGCAGCTCTTAGTTTTCATTCTTTTTTTGATTACAGAAAAATAATAGAGTGATTCTTCTGTTGCAGGGAGCTCAGACAGGTCACAACAGGTCAGAATGGTTTTAACACTATGGATTTCTATATGAAAACTCTGGGTGTATCTTGTGAACCATGTTTGCACACCTAATGGTGCTAACATTGTGTGGCCCACTGAGAATCACTGGACTAATTCAACAAAATCAGTCCAGGGCAAATACTGGCCTCCCTTCCATAATCTCCTCTGTCCAGGCAAAACTGCCACGATCACTCCACCAGGCAAATGACTGTGGGACATCATGTGTGTCCTGCATGTACAGGTAGAGTACTTTGGACTTAGTTCTCTCCAAATCTCTGGGTAAATCTGGAATGACCCCACTAGAGTCAGAGTATCCCCAGAACAGAGACACACCAGGCACATGAGGAATCTGTCCCAATATGCCTGTGCATGGAGCCCGCTGGTGCTGAGTGGCATGTGGGAGTGCCTTTGCCATTGCCCAGGAAGAAGATAAATGTAGAAAAGGAACTGGACTGACTTGAAAAAATCCCTCTGGCTCTTTTTTACTCAGCACAATAGACCTTGCATTTCATGCTGGACAAAATGGGTAAAATTACCCTATCATTGTCTCCAAAGTGAGCATTTAAGGAAAATTATGGGTGACTTAAGTCTCATTTAAAGTGTGTAATTTAGGGGAATTACAGACACCAATATATCAGTTTTCTTTTCTGCAATGGTTGTGATTTCCATCCAACAGATTAATCCACTTTCAGACAGCATTTATACCGGGAGCCTGGTTATTGTTTTAGAGTCCATTACCTGGTCTGTGAGCCCCATGGGGCACCCACCAGAATAAACAATGCACATGTCTGCTCCACAGTGGAAGGGAAATGGATATGCAAACTGGGCAGCTTGCCTCTTGTGCAAGTCAGAAGGTCCCTCAGGGCAGGCAGTGTTTGGAGGCAATGGGAAGTGGGCCTTACTGTAGAGAGAAAATGCATCTAGATAAAGGGGCAGATGTGGGCTCTCTGGTGCACAGAACAGATCCTGACTGATAGTCTTCTTCCCCCATAGTGGCATTTCTCACTGGAAGGGCAGATTTTTGCAGTCCAATTGCATTGAAAAATTCCTACCGATGTTTACAAGAGCTGCTGTTTTTGCATTGGGAAGAGGCCAGCAGTGTTTCTCTCATGAACACATAACACACACATACCTACCCACACCTCCACACACACTGTGAAGACAGACTTTGAAGCTGCTGAAAAAAGATTCAGTGGGTTTTATTGCCTTACTAAGACAGAGGCTCACTTCAGGCAAAGTGGAAGGGGATTTTCTGAGAAAAGAGGGATCTAGGGCACATCCCCATGAGTGCGCATGTGTGTTTCCCTGGGGACAACTGGCAGCGGCACATATTTGTGGTACTGCTAGTTGTCCCCAGGGAATGACCCTGCACACATGCTCTGGCACACGGCAAATTGCCCCAGGTGGAGTAAAGGGAGACTGGGGCCAGCACCTGGCCTGGCCCCAGCAGCCTTACCTGGGATCCTGGGGGCTTCCCAGGGCTGCACAGCAGTGATCCGGGTGTGCGGAGCCTGGCTGGCAGCCTGAGTGTGGCTCTGGCTGGTCTGGCTCCCCTTTCAGGTGGTGCATGCTGCTGCTACATGCACTGTGCCATTTTTTTTTCTGTGCGTGTTTTTTAGATACCAGGATTTCCTGGTATCTAATTTCGGCTCCGCACTGCAAATATGCAGTGCAGAGAACCTATTCACACGTGCCATATGTGTTTTGTGGCACCTCAAAAGCCTTTGAGGCACCGCAAATTGCGCATTCCCCCTTGTGAGGATGTGCCTTTAGTGGGTGGGCTAAGCAGATAGAAGGGAGGAGCCCCTACAAGCTTCTGAGCCTGGAGAGAGGATCTGAGCTGAATTTTTACTACCTGAGTGCTTCCTGTGCTGAAAATGCCACGGCCAAGTTCAGGGATGAGTTCGAGTGCTGTACATGGAGAACAGCCTGGGAAAGGTGCTTGTTCAGTTTTATACTAACAAGGATGTCACTAACCTAAACTAGCATTAGAGTAATGGTCCAGCACTTAGGTGAGAGGCAAGGTTTTCTATTGGACCAGCTTTTGAATGCAAAACATTTGAAGCTTTTGAACGCAAAAGCTTGACTTAAGGTCTTGACTTAAACTAGACTTTTCCTAGCAACTGACACCTTGCACTTCTCTAGCTGCTTTCAACCTGAGCTGTCACAGCCCTTTACAAATAGTCATGATCTAAGATGATCTAATTCCCCCATTGCCCCGTGTGATAAAAGCTGCTGTGGCTGCCCCCATTGTAGAAATGACATGGGGAGTGGAAAGGATTCCTCTGCGCTTACAGAGCAAGTTATTAAGACAACCAGCAATCTCAATGTCCACCATTTCCTCTACACATTAGACCCCTTGCCTTACTGAATGCAGCAGGGACCACAGTTCTTTTTATTACTGCAAGCTATTGTGTGTAGTTCAGTCGTGCCTGGTCCAAGTCACAAAATGTGACACTGTGTTAGGGACTGTACAGGTACAGAGCTTAGAAATCATCCTTGCCCCAGAGTTAAAAATGAAGGTAGACAATGTGACTCTATTTACAAACCATAAAGTACCATATATGTTTATGGGACCCTATGAGTGTTTTATAATAACAATGGCAAAAACCAGTGGTGCCTTTGCAATACTAGAGCATCTACTGGGAGAAGGTACGCCCCTGAAATCCACTGATGTTTCTGAACCTGAGTTGCTTCATCCTTCTAATTGTCCCCTGAAAATGCCTCTCTCTGGTGACTCTCTCCATGTGGACTGGGGACACTATGTTAAAAATATGTCATATTTTGTTATTCCTTTTGGCTTTGCCACTTAATTCTTCCTACTGAAATACAGGGGAGGAATTATACTCCAGAGTCCTTTATGTGCTTGACACCTCAGCCCTCCCACAAATATCAGCATGAGGAATTAAGAGCTGAGATGTGTGTGAAGCTCGTGCGAAATGTGCAGCTGCTCAACAATGCTACAAAAACTGTTGGCAGATTTTGGCCACAGAAACCATATTTAACCAAATGAGGCTCATTCCTATCTTCCCTGTGTTGTGGCATCTCAGAGACACTCCAAGAGCTATGGTGTGGCCAGTCCCTCTTAAAATAAATATATAAATCATTTAAGAAGCACTGAACCACATGGATTATCATATTAGTGTCCTGGAAATCAGAATGAAGTCAAGGGGCCCATCCTCCAAGCCTATTTGTCTTTCTAACTTAATATTCAGCTAGCTCTCAATTTTGATGGCATCCATCCATTTCCAAATCTAATAAGATATTCCATTAAAAAGATGCATTTGAATCTCAGCTACAGCAGCATTAATATTAAAAGTGTATTGAATGCATGAGTTTGTTTGAATGCTGTGCACCGTATGGAATGCAAACACAGTTCAAAGGCAGCGGAGGCAGATAAGCCCCTTGCCAGATCCCAATATACATAAGCAACTTATTACAACAGGCAGTGTCCAATTTCACATGGAGATTTTTATTTTCCACTACAACGGTTTGAAATGCTTGTGGAAAGGAAAGGTAAAATGTGCGGCTGAAATACAGTTCTGTTCCCTGTCCTAACAAAGGCTGGGGAACAATTTACACTAGTGGTGGAATTACAGCGGACAGTGAGCTGAAGAGCAGCTCATGTCTGGAGGGGTCTCAGGTATGGCTTGCAGCTGCCTTCATAGTGTGAGAGTCTGCTAATGAACTGCATCCTGGGACCTGTAGTCTCCTCCGTACAGTGCTCTGTAATTAAAAAGGCATGCACTTGCAGAAGCACCTCTCTCTGGCCATATTTGGATGCCCCTTTGTTAAACAGAAGCTAGAGGCTAGCAGAGCCAGTTCTTCCTGCACTGTTGAGTTATAGCTAACACCTTGAATTTATACTGTTCAGTGATT